GGGTGGGACTGGGGTGGGCCAAGTAATGCAGCCTTGGTTCTTCTCTCTCCCGCCAGCTCCTCTGGTCTCCTTTGTCCGTGAGGCACGTGGGTGCTCTCCCCAGAGGCCAGGGGTCTCACAAATGTTATTCCAGGCCTGGGCTAGGCAGTGTAGGGAGGCGGAGGGCTAGACCTGGGTCTGGTTCCAGCCCAGCTGCTGAGCCATGTGTGACTTTGGGCTCGACCCCGCACTTTCTTGAGCATCGGATGTTCCTCCTGTAAGGTGACCACCGCCTCATCAGGGCGTAAGGCCTGGCACACAATAGGTTCCTCATGCTGGACGCTACTGGGCCGTCAGGGTCTGGGAGGGTAGGAGGTTGACTGAGAGCCTCCAGAAGCCTCCCGTGGGAACAATGTCCCTGGGGATTTGTGGCCTTGAAGGCCTTTGTCCTCTGGGCTGTAGCACGTGTGCTCACACGGGGTTTCCGAATCACAAGCTCTGTGCGGGGTGCCATGCTGGGGCTGGGTTCTCAGAGAGGAGACCGTGGCCCCTCCTGGGGTTACCCGTGGGCTCCCAGGAGGCATGATGAAGGTAGGAGAACGGTATCCTCTCTCCTTGGCTCAGTGTGTGATCCTGAGGTCTCTGGGTCAAAGGTCCTGGGAGACTTCCTGGAGGAGGAGGCATCGAGCTAAGGGTTCCCTATGTGGTTGGAATAGGTGAAGTGAAGCAGGTGGGAGAAAAGGCACAGGCAGAGTCTGGGAGGTGGGAGATGGTCAGGCGAGTGGTGAGGAAATACAGGGTCATCGGCAGCAAGGCTGGTTGGGGAGCCTCCAATGCCAGACACAGTTATGACGCCTGGTCCCTGTCTCAGAGGGCATGTGGGCTAGTGAGGAGTCTAGACCAGCTGCATGAAAAGCTGTGGTGTCAGACAGCCAGCTGGGCTGATCACTACAAGCCACTCAGTCCTGAGGGCTGGGCCCTGAGGAGGTGAGGGGGGCCTCCCGGGCCTCTCATCCCTGTAAGCCAGCATCATTCATCCATTCAAGTGTTTTCCTGAGCACCTGTAGGCACCAGGCATCCCATCAGTGCTGAGGATACCACAGTAAACAGACTCAAGTCTTTTCCTTGTGCAGTAGAGAAAAACAAAGCAGGGGAGGGCTGGAGAGGGGTTGTAATCTTCGAAGGGGACGTTGGAGCAGATACTTGGAGGAGATGAGCAACACACTGGATATTTGAAGGAAAAGCATTCCAGGCAGAGGGAACAGCATGTGCAAAGGCCCTGAGGCTGGAGTGTGCTCAGTGTGAGCTAGTGTGGCTGGAGTGGAGTGGGTGAGGGAGGGCCTTGGAGGTGGTGAGGAGGGCCTTGAAGCCCATCGCACTACTAGGGGGAGCCTTCAGGGATTTCTTTTCTTTTTTTTTTTTTTTGGGCTGCATTGGGTCTTCATTGCTGCATGCAGGCTTTCTCTAGTTGCGGCGAGCGGGGGCTTCTCATCGTGGTGGCTTCTCTTGCTGTGGAGTGCGGGCTTCAGTAGTTGCGGCATGCGGGCTCTAGAGCGCAGGCTCAGTAGTTGTGGCGCATAGGCTTAGTTGCTCCGCGGCATCCCGGACCAGGGCTCAAACCTGTGTGACCTGCATTGGCAGGGGGATTCTTAACCACTGCGCCACCAGGGAAGCCCAGGGATTTCGTTTTTCATAGAATTTTTTTTTTAAGTTGAGATCTAGTTTACACATTATTAAATCTATCCATTTGAAGTGTACAATTTGATGACTTTTAGTATAAACATACAGGTGTGTAGCCATCACCACAATCCAGTGTTAGAACATTTCTACCACCCAGAAAGTTCTCTCATGCCTGTTTGAAGTCAGTCCCTGCTCTCAACCCCTGGCAACCGCTGATCTGCTTTCTGTGTCTATAGTTTTGAAATTTCAAATAAGTGGAATCAAACTCTATGTAGTCTTTTGGGTCTGGTTTCTTTCACTTAGTATAATGTTTTTGGCGGTTCATCCATATTGTTGCAAATATCAACAGTTGGGTTCTGCATTTGCAGATGGAGGGCTGACTGCACTATACCATTTTATATGAGGGACTTGGGCATCCTCGGATTTGGGTAACCTCAGGGATCCTGAACCAATTCCCCAAGGATACCAAGGGACAACTGTGTACTGTTGTCTAGATGAACTTTGTGTTCATATATTCACCAGTTGATGGACATTTGGGTTGTTTCCATGTTTTGGCTATTGTGAAAAAGGTCACTATGAACTTTTTTTTTTTTTTTTTTACAAATGATTGTATGGATATATGCTTTTATTTCGCTTGGGTGGTTGGTTGGGTCATATGATAGGTATATATTTAACTTTTTTTAAAGATGTTGGGGGTAGGAGTTTATTAATTAATTAATTTATTTTTGCTGTGTTGCATCTTCGTTTCTGTGAGAGGGCTTTCTCTAGTTGTGGCAAGCGGGGGCCACTCTTCATCGCGGTGCACGGGCCTCTCACTATGGTGGCCTCTCTTGTTGCGGAGCACAGGCTCAGTAGTTGTGGCTCACGGGCCTAGTTGCTCCGTGGCATGTGGGATCCTCCCAGACCAGGGCTCAAACCCGTGTCCCCTGCATTAGCAGGCAGATTCTCAACCACTGCGCCATCAGGGAAGCCCCTATGTTTAACTTTTTAAGCAACTGTCAAACTGGTTTCCAGTGGGGTTGCACCAGTTTTCATTTCCACCAACAATCTGTCCTGATTACTCGACATCCTGATCAGCACTTGATATTGTCGGTTTTTCTGATTTTAGCCATCCTAATCTGCGTGAAGTGGTATCGCATTGTGGTTTTAATCCACGTTGCCCTTGTGACTAATGATTTAGGTCATCTTTTCATGTGCTTATTGCTGTTTACATATCTTCATTGGTGAAATGGGTATTCACATCTTTTGTTCATTTTTTTTATTAGGTCTTGTTAGTAAGTTGTAAGCGTTCTTCATATGTTGGTGAATAAGTGACCTTTATTAGATATATGATTTGTAGCTTGACCCAAGCCTGACAGCGAGTGACTCCTGGCCCCCAGAATTCCTGGGGTGTCAGGGAGTTGGTCAGGGGATTAGAATGTTGGATTTGGCGGACTCTGGGGGGCAGGCCATGGCTGGCAGGCATACCTCATACTCCCATCAGCTCACCTGGGCATGTAGGTGCCACTACTTTGTGCCTTGCAGGAGCTCATTTTCCTTTGCTCTTATGTCTAACCACCCTGTGTGAGGAGCTGATCCTTCCCATGGCTATGCCAGGACGGTAATAGTGTTGTTGGCTCATCCTGCTGGCCTGGGAGCCTTTCTGGGGGCACATATTC